AGGCCCAGCCCCACCTGACCGCCGAGCCCCCTCCCTCCGGGTCTCCTCTGCCAGGCAGCAGACAGCTGAGTGCTACGCGACCGACCTCCAGCTAAACCAGAAAGGCCACTGTCTTTCAAGCATTAAAAGCAGGCGTGGAGGCGCACACCTGCAGTCCCAGTACCTGGGAGACTGAGGCGGGAGGATTCCCCCCAAGGTCCAGGCCAGCCCGGGCTAGGGGGTGAGGCCTTGTCTCTAACAGCCCAAACCAAACACACTGCGTACGAATTCTGTGCTCTCAGAAGAAGCACCAAGTGGAGCCATACCATTCCCGCAGCTCGTGCACGTGCAGGAAGCGGTTCCGGTACTCCCGGGGCAGCTCGAACTGGGATGGCGTGGGGAACATGGACTCGTAGAAGTCCCGCAGCACGGCCTTCACGGTCTGCGCGTCCTTGTGGCTGTGGTCAATGTTATCATTCAGGCAGATAAACTTTCTGCAACGACAGGCAGGGTTACAGGCCTCACAGCTGCGGTCCTGACCCCAGACAGAAGGAATGTGCATTCCAAGTGTTTTTATTTATTTCTTTTGGTTTCTCGAGACAAGGTCTTGCTGTGTAGTTCCACAGTTCCAGCTGGCCTTGAACTCACGGGATCCTCCTGCCTCAGCCTCCCAGAGGGATCACAGGTGTGCGCCTCCACGCTGTTTTCCAAGGGCATTTCCAATGGACTCGTGCCCCGCGTGGGGTAGTCCCACTCTGTCAAACGTGGCTTTACCGATCCCTCCGTCCCCAGAGCCAGAGCAGTGCCGGTCACCCTGAAGGAGGCTGAGGCAGCGCAGTGAGGCACCCTCAGGAATGACTTCCGCCTGAAGCTGGGGACACTGCACTAGCCACTAGGCCCTGGGAGGGATGGCAAGACCGGCTCAGCCGCAGACCGTGATGGCGTCAGCCACAGCCAAGGCAGGGACGGCGCCGCCCCGCGCTTCCAGGCCAGAAGCAGCACCCAGGGTCCAGAAAACGGCAGAGAGGGAGGGGGGGGGGTGGGGCCCAGACGCGGACACGGAGCTAAGCCTGCGGCCCGACTCCCCTTCTGGGAAGGCAGGGCGGCGGGCGCAGGGAGGACAGGCGAGGCCCAGGGCAGCCAAGGGCTCGCGCCAGCCACCTCCAGACGGGGAGAGCGCGCGACACGAGGAGACGCAGTGAAGGGTGCACCGCGGACTTCAAAACAAAGCACAGCCAAGGGCTGAGAAAGACGGAAGCAGAGGCACAGAGCTCACGGCCTGCCCACAATTGGCTCCAAAACCTCTGTGACATGAGCTTTCGTCATCGGGACTGAGTGGCAAAGGGTTTATTTTTAGGACATCAAGGATTTTCTTGGGTTTCTGAAGACACTAAATAAGCACTAAAGATTTTGTTTTTCAAGATTCTCTTTCCCCTTTCCCTCTCGCAGAAAAATGGGATTTGTAAGAAAAAATCACGGTCTCAAAATACTATATCTAGAATTTTTACAAGTTGGACCATGTATAAATAAAATTCAAATGAGGCAAAACTGAAGACTTCCCAAAGTATGTAAAAAAAGTGGAGATTAAAAGATTCACTTTACATGCCAAGGTCTTTTCATCTTTCTCAAGGAAACTGATGAAACACGAATTTCCTACTAAAGCTCAAAAAAACAAAGCCAGGCATGGTGTTGTGCATCTGCTATAATCCCAGCACTCAGGAGGCTGAGGCAGGAGGATCATCAGGAAGTTGAGGCCAGCCTGGGCTGCATCGTGAGTTCCAGGTCAGTCTCAACCACATACTGAGACCCTGTCTCAAAAAGCCAAAAAACAAAACAAAACAAATCAAAATACTAAGACCAAACAATCACAAGACACACAAAACAGTCCAAACAAAGCCCTTCAAAGAGCAGATTTTAACCTGCGTTTTATGAAACCAGCCATGACCGTGGTTAGAGCGCCAGGCTGGAAGCCTCAGAGCTCTGTGAAAAGGACAGCGTGTTCACCCTGCAGGACGGCGGGAGTCTGCAGGCTGACCTGGCCGTTTTCAGCAGCGACTCCCTCTCCTCCGAGCTCCACTGGCCTGAGCCACAGGAACAGCTCTGCTTTGTCGCAGTGCCGGAGGCGGAGGGTGACCTGGGCCTGGTGGGCGCGGCCTCCGTCCTCCCCTCTCTGTCCCCGGCTCTGGGGCCTTCACGCTCCACGCTTCACCCACATCACTGCCCTTTCTCCTAAACTTTTACCCCATCGTCCGCTCCCTGGTCTGCGGCTTCGGGGCCCGCGCTGTCTCCACGTCCTTGGCACGAGGTTGGCCGCGACCTAAGAGATCTGTCAGCGCCCGCAGCCACGCCGGGCGTGCGTGCAGTCACGTTGGAAAGTACAAACCAGAGGGAAGCGCGCACACCTGCACTCGTGTCGCACCAGCGAGTACAGATCAGCACCGCGCCATGTGACTGGGAAAACGCGTGTGCGGGCTGAGTCTGAGTTACGGCGATTGTGAGTGAGCCATGATTTTCAGCACATTCATGTCCATGTGGTAACCCTGAGTCGGCCTAAATAAGATGACGCAAAGTAAAAGAATGACTCGTGGGAGCCGGTACCTGGGGTTTTTCCGTATGTCGTCCAACTGGCCAACCACGTGAGAGACGTTGGTGCGGATCATTTTGAAAGCGATTTCTTCCTCCCCCATGATCTCAAACCTAGTTGTCCGAACATATTGAAAAAGTTGGACTATCTGTTTTACAGCGATGTGAAGCAAACGTCAGTAGGAAAAGCATCCTGACCACTTCAGTGTACCTGACACGCACAGGGGTGACTCAGCACCGCTGACAGAACCCTCAGGGATTTTAGAAGAAGACCTCACAGGTGAAACGCCAGCAACCACATCCACACAGACCAAGAGGCGCGGACTTGCCTGTACTTGTTTTTGTCCTTATAGGCCTTGTGGATTTTGTCAGTCACTGGCTTACAGTTGGTCACCAGACTCTTGGTCACTGGGGGCTGTGAGAAAGCACAGGAGGGTCATACGGAAGACAGGACAGAGCGAGAGGCCCAGGAGGGAGCAGAGCTCAGGCGGGGCCGGAACACCCAGGACCAGGACGGAAGCTAATGCAGTTGTTTTAAAAATCACACCGGGATGCAGGAGGCTGAGGCAGGAGGATCGCCTCAAGTTGGAGGCCAGCCCGGGCGACACAGAAAGACCTTGTCTTACACACACACAAAAAAAACATCCTTAATGAGGTGTCACAATCTTTTTCAAAAAGAAAATTAATTTTTAAACAAAATATAGTAAGTTGGTCTATGAGATTCATAAGTTGGTTATGACTGCCCTTTTTTTTCGGTACTGGGAACTTTTGGGCCTTCAACTTGAGCTACATCCCCAATCCCTGTTTTTATTTTTTGAGACAGGGTCTTGCTAAATAAAATAAACATTTTATTCTGACCATGAGAGAAAAAGCTGCTCATTTTGGAAAATACTTGTGAGACAGCGCTATCAGAAGCGTGCACACTGTTCCTGCGGTCAGCGGGGGGGCAGTGCGTGGACGTGGGGTTTCAGGGTTCAGGGCGTGCCGGTCCTGCGCACGTCCCGGCTGACCTCACACTGCGGCCTTTCTCCACTGATCGGCAAAACCCCCCGAAGCAGCACGAACCCTGCAGACCCTGGCCCCGCGTCTCTCGTACCCAGCGGTCACGATCCACCCGCGTGGGTGATGCCAGCCGGTGCCAGGACCCGGGACCCCGAGCTGCGAGCACCCACAGCTGGGCCGCGCACCTGCCCGGGTCCGCAAGCGGGCGAGAGAAGGGGTCGGGGCCTGGCTGCACTCACCAGGTTGGGGTCGTAGTAAGCCTCCTGGGTGGGCGGCACGCGGTGCAGCTGAGTGACGTTCGCAGGAAGCACCTTTGAGCAGTTTATTAACATGTGTTCCAGACCCGTCAGATCCTAACAGCAAAATAGAGAAAGACCTGTTACCTTCATTACAAATAATGACTGTGGTTTTTAAAATCAATTATGTAAAATCTACCAAAAATGGTTTAAATGCTACCCTCAATGAATTTCTTTGATATAAAGTTTTAGTTTTGTTTTTTTTTGGCACCAGGGATCGAACTCAGGACCTTCTGCTTGCGAGGCAGGCGGCAGCACCACTGAGCTAAATCCCTCGCTCTGGGGGACAGGGTCTCTCTGTGCAGTCCAGACTGGCTCCAGACATGCAGCGACCCTCCTGCCTCAGCCTCCTGAATGCTGGGATTACTGGCGTGCGCCACCACGCTGGCTCTTGATATGATTCTGAAGCATAAAGATCTCCAGCAAGAGCAGGACATGAGGCAGACACAGACGTCTCATCCTCCCTCTTCTCAGGGAAGCAGACACCGGGCTATGGGACACCCCTTCCCCGAGAGGCGTGCTGGGGTCTGAGGTTCATGGGGCTGGGGTAGCTGACAGAAGCCGGCTGAGGACGGTAGGGCCACACCAGGAGACCCTGCCTGGAACCCCAGCACTCAGAAGGAGGCTGAGGCAGGAGGGTCGCTGTGAGTTCGAGGACGGCCTGGGCTACACAACAAAACCATGTCTCAAAAAACAAACAGAAAAACTTCATAAAATACAAACTTCCAATTTGGGTCTAATTCTGGCGCGATGACAGACTTGTCCTGCACCCCACGTTAAGTTTGAGGAGTCCCTGGGACCCGTGTCCCGCCGAAACCCGCCGGAGGTGGGGACAGACCGGGGCTGGGGGCAGCCCACCTGCAGGCTCAGCGGCAGCTCGTGCACCCTGGTGGCCAGCGTGCGGATCTCGCGGTCCGACAGGACGCCCGAGCGGTCCGTGTCCACCTCGTCGAAGACCTGGGACACGTTCAGGGGCTGCACGGCGCTCATGAGGTAGTAGAAGTAGGAGAAGGCGAACTGCATGTCCTGGGGGTGGCGCACCTTGTGGAAAGACGTCCTGTCGAACTCCTCTGCGGGACGGGGCAGTGAGCGGCGGGCGCGGGCGCTGCCGGGCGCAGGCACCTCCGCACTCACATGTCCTGCAGCTCCTGCATGACCTGGCGGTCGATCATGTGCGGCATGTGCGCGGGGACCTTCCGCGACGCGAAGCCGAACTTGCTGTTGAGGATTCTGTTCACGTGGCGCAGCGAGTCCGCAAACGTGTCCTTGAGCTGGCGGCCGGCGCGGCTGCCGTCGGCGAGGTAGGCCAGCTGGGTCTTCAGCGCCGCTTCCTCCTGGGGGGCAGCTTTCTTAACAAGGCCAGGGCACCGAGTTATGCTGGGCGCGGTGGCGCTCGCCTGCCACCCCAGCGCTCGGGAGGCCGAGGCGGGAGGATCGCCACGAGTTCAAGGGCAGCCCGGGCTCCAGGGAGTCCGGGGCCAGCGTGAGCTGCACAGTGACAGCCTGTCTCGCAGTGCAGAAAGAATGGCTTCCCGCACAGTGACACTTACGGCACTGTTACCTGTAACTGTGAAACACCACAAATAACCCGCAGCTTTGAAAGCACAGCGGTGCCGCTCACAGCCCGCTCAACCCCAGGCGGCCTAGGCACCCAGGGGTAGCGTGACCTCTGGCGCCCCAGGGCGAATGAACCTGTGCGCCCCTGTAGACACCGCTCAGGCACCCGCACCGCAGGGCGCATTTCCGCGGTCCCAAGCTGCCCCTCTGGCCTAGCACCGCATCTGTGATTTTCCTTCCCCGGAAAGGAGCCCGCGGTGGAAGCAGCTCCCCAGCCCAGCCCAGCCCAGCCTGCCACGGCCCGGCCGTCAGAGGGCAGAGGCCAGCGCTCAGGACTCCGCCTCCTGCGCCTCCTCCTCGGCCGCTGGTCGCCAGCTCCAGGACAATGCTTATCCGCCCAACTGTGAGCGCGGCCGAGTCCCCAGGGTTTCCTGTGACGGCACAGACAACGCCGGGCCCGCAGGAGACCGGGCCTGGCTCTGCGTCACCAGGAAAGCCGGGAGGTGGCAGACCCCCTGCCCCGCAGCCCCAGAGCCCCCCGGGGTGTCCACGGCTGCGTGGGGACAGCGGCAGGCGGCGCTGACTTACGTCCAGCAGGTCCTGGAAGTACTTCCTCCTCTCCCAGGGCAGGAAGCCCGGGTCACTCCCGGCCAGCTGCTGCAGTTTCCTCCCGAGCCCCGCGCCCTCGCCTCCTCCCCCGGCGG